AGGGTAGCGTCGGCGGGGACGGGGAAGGACGTGGGAGGGCTAGGGACAGATCGGGACAGCGCAGGGCGGCTGCCTGAAGGTGTCATTAAGGACATTGGAAGAGTTAAGGATGGTCCAGGAACATTTAGGGATATTGCGGTAATGTCAAGGACACATCGGGAAAGACGTGGGACGCTCGGGGACAAAGAATTACAGAAAGCGATGTCCCCGACTTGTCTTAATCCTCACCAGGGAGAAGTCTTCCGAACCAAAAGGTGCACACCTCAAGATGTTTATGAAGAAATTAGGGACAATCTGGAGCTGAAGGGCCATGGAAATTACACTACTGATGATTCGAGGGGTAAAATGAGGAATCTGAAGCATACGTTTGAGGAGAAGAAAAGATTGCAAAATCAATCATGGCTTTACTTTGATCTAATGCACCGTGCACCCTAGGACAGGGGCGGGACGGCTTAGGGACACCCTAGGACAGGAGCGGGACGGCATAGGGACATCCTAGGACAGGAGCGGGACGGCATAGGGACATCCTAGGACAGGATCGGGACGGCATAGGGACATCCTAGGACAGGGGCGGGACGGCTTAGGGACACGCTAGGACAGGATCGGGACGGCATAGGGACACCCTAGGACAGGAGTGGGACGCCCTAGGGACGCCCTAGGACAGGAGCGGGATGCCATAGGGACGCTCTAGGACAGGAACGGTGTTGTATATTCACATGTTTATATCTGCCTATAGTCATGCTTTCTGCTGCTGCCCTGTCAGCGCCACCTATCGGCTGTATACTTAGGCTTCAGAGGTTTCCTCTTACATGTTCGCACAAATTCCTGTCACTCCTGCTTATCCATTCGTTAAGAATAAACCAAGCTAGCCCACACCTGCCTCGTATTATTTCTCACCAAGAGACTCAACTACAACACTGGCGACGAGGAAGTAGATGTCAATGAAGATCTCTCAGGCAATCAAGTGTGGATCGTGACGTACTGTTCAGCAAGCTGGTCACACGGTTCCAGCAGGAGGGGGAGTCGGGGTAGGCTTATGCAGCTGAACTTCAAAGTTTGGCTGAGAATCTTGGGTTTGGATGGTTCTCCAGCCTTCTGGTCAAGTACCAGTGGAAAAGGGGCATTCGAGACAAAACTGTCCAGGAAAGGCTTTATGCAGATGCCAACATATCCCTTGAGGCTGCTTTAAAATTGGTTAATGCAGCCGAATCTAGCAAAGCCCGCATCAATAGCTTACAACCACCGGTGGACGTCCATGCGATGCATTATACGCGCCGCAAAACCGTCCCACCACAGCAAGTTTTAGCACCAAAACCTCCTCCGAAGCCAACTCCAGCACCTCTTTCCACTACTAGTCAGGTTTTTTGTTTTCGTTGCGGCGAACCAGGGCATACCACCAAACAGTGTCCTCGCAAGTATAAGGATTGTGTTTGCTCCTTTTGCTCCAAGGTGGGCCACCTAGTTAAAGCCTGCAAAGAGAAAAAGAAGACCAAGAAGAAGGAGAAACCCAATCAAATGAACTCTCTCAATTTCAATTCAACAGGTCCCCAGTTCGGTCAATCAGCAGAGGGCCTACAACAACCTTTTTATCCTTACTCCTTCTCCATTCAAGGTGCACCCTTCCTGGACATCAGTGGTGGCCACTCTGATCTTTTTTCCATGAGTGCGGACCGCCAGGTGGACCCCATCTATATCAACCTCACCATTAATGGAAAGGAGGTAAAGTTCCAAGTAGATGATGGCGCCGGTGTCGCAGAGTGGTTATACCCCCCGGCTCCCGGCACCCCCCCGGTACATCAGCCCTAGGTATAGTGTACCGGGGGTACACTGTTCCTAGGGCACATGTACCCCCCCATCTCGAGACCCGGGGGTACACCCAACCTAGGGCTGGTGTACCCCCGGGGGGTACACTGTCCCTAGGGCACATGTACCCCCCTACCCTCGACCCCCGGGGGTACACCTAACCTAGAGCTGGTGTACCCCCCGGGGGTACACGATCTCTAGGGCACATGTACCCCCCTCCTCGAGACCCGGGGGCACAGCGAACCTAGAGCTGATGTACCCCCATCTGAGGGGGGTACACGTACCCTAGAGTTTATGTATCACCCGAGATTCGTACGCACAACGCCTAGAGTTAATCAAAGCTCGCTTTAGGTCATGTTAGGCTAGGTTAGGCTAGGTTAGGCTAGGTTAGATTAGATCTGGCCACTTTAGTGGTGCCGAATATGTGCCCTCGAAGACATGAGGTATGGTAGATCCCTTACCCTCAAGGTAGGGGGTACACCTGCCCTAGGGACAATGTACCCCCCGGGGGTACATCAGCCCTAGGTTAGGTGTACCCCCGGGGGTCGAGGAGGGGGGGTACCTCTGCCCTAGAGATCGTGTACCCCCGGGGGTACCCCAGCCCTAAGTTCGGTGTACCCCCGGGGCTCGAGGGTGGGGGGGTACAGGTACCCTAGAGCTGATGTACCGGGGGTACTCCAACTCGGGGGGGTACAATCGCTCTGTTACACCGGCAAGACAGTCATGACTGAGTCTAGGTTTGTGGAAGCCTTTGGTGATGTGCCACGGGAGTCGGCCAAGTTGTCTCTTTCCACTTGGGGCG